GAGAATCAGTGATAGAGAAAAAAAAACAGAAAAAGAAAGATAGAGCCTTGCGAGGTAAAAAAAAATATATATATATATATATAAATAAATAAAAGGAAGACAGGGAGAGAAAGTGAGCAAGAGAAATAGAGAAAAAAATCTTAGCTCTCTCTGTACACAACACAAGACCAGGGAGCCTTTTCAACGCATGTATTTTATCTGCAGATTTGCATCGATTGATGTCAAACATCACAGACGCGTTTCCGTTTCTGGGCTTATGAATGATGCGTTCGAAGGACGGACAACAGCACACGTAAGCGGGAGGAGAAGACTGCATAAGTATCTGTTGCGCTGCCTTATCTCGGCTGACAACAAGGGAGGGGGTGTGGAGGATGCAATGCCAGAGGGAGGGAGGGGGTGAAGGAGAGATAGAGAGAAGGATTGGAGGGAAAGCGACAAAGAGAGAAGACAGAGGAAGAGGAAATAAGGAAAAAGACAGGGGGCGGGGGGCAAAAAAGAACGAAAGAGAGAGATGAAAGGAGGATAGAAAGTGAGAGTGACAGGGGGAGAGGAGAGAGATAAGAGATTTTATCTTCTTATCAGCCGCCGCCCCGGGTAGACAATGGTACAACTGCACCAGTGATTCCTTTGCACATTGGAGGAACCCCTTTATTATTTTTCTTACTCCAAGGAACCCCTGTTTCTAGTATATATGAATCCTTTTTGACGAAAAGTGTGCAAAGGAGATGAGAGAACGGCTGGGCCGGGGTTCGTGACACGCCTGCTCCTCGCACGGGGCTGCGTCCCCTCCTCCCCAAGCCCTGTATCGCCGACTCGCGGAGTACCAATGGAAGCGTATCCTGCCCCGGCAATAACACTAGTTATTTTCTAAAAATGTTATGCATAGTATTACTATTTTTTTCATATTTTTTCCATATCATCTTCTGGTCCAGGAAAGCTACAGCATCTGTGGACACACACATACATGTATATGCACACATATGTACACGCACTCATATGCATACATGCACGTATACATACGTACAGGCACACATACACGTACATACGTACACGTACACACACATAAAAAGCACACTCGCACATACATGCACATGAACCCGTTCATAGATATGTACACACACATATCCGCACAAACACATACACACACATACAAGCACACAATAAATACATGTACTCATAACACACATGCACACACTCATGTATACATACATGCATCACACAGATACACATACATCTACGTGCATGCATATACACATATACATGAATACACATGATTTCATGTGTACACATATAACAGCATACACACATACACTCACAGGTGCACACATAAAAGCACACGCATATGTGCATGTACACATACACTCACTCATGCACATATAGTGTACACACATACGTATTCTTGTGCACACAACTCTTACACATACTCATAACACATATACACACATGCACGCACATACTCATAACACATACACACATGCACACACATACATGAATCACACACACATCTACGTGTATGCAGTATATATACATACATATATACATGCACGCGCATGAATTCTTGGCCAAGGTTCGAAGACATAAACAGGACCCTTGATCGGTGTTTGGTTTGTTCCTCTTTCTTGGTCATCCCAATCATTAAATTCCCTTTTCGGCCAATTGCTTTAACCTAAATCAGACCACAGGTGAAGGAAAAGGTTTAGTTAAGGAGACAGGTGAAACATGGCGGAGGGACCCTACAGTTCGAGTAGTTTAATGCTACTAGAGGCTGGCATCCACAACTGAGCTAACTGCGACCAATGCACCAGTGTTGTGAAGGGTTCTATGACCCCGGGAAAGGCCCCGTAAAGCAGCGAGTTTGGAGCTCCTGGTGGCAGCGCTGGCAGGTTGCGAGAGAGCCTTGCGCTCTGCCCAGACGAACTAGAAGCCTGGCCACAAAGCAGGAGGCGAATGAAAGCGAAAGCAACATTGAATCAAAAGGAAATCGGATGAACAGTTTTTCAATGATAAAAATAAATGAAAAGACAAAAAAAAAAAAAAGGGACAAAGAAGCTACGTGTGTGGACAGCTACATATGGGCGGAGGAACTTGCAATATATGCGGTAGTTCGGGAAGCGATTAAAGAACAGATGATAAGAAAGAGCAGTCAGCTGCTTATCTTTGAAGTTACGTCACTCTAAGTTCCAAGGGCCAGAGGTGGAGGAAACACGCAGGTGTCTTGAAAGAGTAAAAGGGAGAGAGAAAGAAAAAGAGAGATGGCAAGAGAAAGGAAGAGAGTAACTAGGAAAATGAGAGAAAGTAATTGGAAGAGTGAAAGAATAATTGAGGATGAACAGAGAATGTAATTGAGAGAGTGAAAGAATAATTGAGGATGAAGAGAGAAAGTAATTGGGAGAGTGAGAAGTAATTGCGAGTGAAAGAGGGAAAGCAGAGAGAGAGAGAGTAAATAAGTGAGAGACAGAGTGTGTGAGGGAGAGAGGAGGTGAGGCAGGAAGGGGGAGAGAGTTAGAGAGAGTTAGAGAGAATGGGAGAGAAAGAGAAATTCAAGGAAAGGGAAACAAAGAAACAGAACAGCTCGCGTAAAGTGGATGAAAAGACTTTTCCATAAATATCTGTAGCGCTGCCTTATCTCGGCTGACGACAAGGAGGGCGTGCGGAGGCATATACAGATAAAGAATCATATACTCACACAGGCAAACACATTCAAACACACGGACAAACACATACAGGCATATAAACACACGTGCACAGAGACAAAGAAACAGATAAACACAGATACAAACACACCCACACAGAAACAAACGCACACACAAACATAGATGTGAATTCAGTCAAAAGAGGGGTGTGATTTCTGTCTTTGTGAAGTGAATAGAAATTTTCCCTAAATGGAATGAGGTATGATATGTGTGTAAAGTGAGGTTTCCATTCTCCAATTTGGGTGAGTGACTGAAAGAGAGTGACTGAGTAACGGAGGGATTCAGGGAGAAACAAAGAGAGAGACTGGCCGAGGGAGTGAAAGGCAGAGAGAGCAATTGAGCGACTGAGAAACTAAGGGAGAGTAATAGTTTAAGAGGCAGAGAGGGAGAGGAACTGAGTGAGACAGAGAGAATAATTGAGTGAGAGAGAGAGGATATTGGACAGACAGACAGGGATATTAATCTATTAATAGAATGAGAGAGTAATTGAGTATCTTGGAACTTATTCGTTCCTCGCTTTGTCTGCAGTGTACGAGGGCGCAGTACGAGCGGAATTACCGGGCGGGATTGCTTCCAAGAAGAAATCAATCCTTGCTTAAGGAGACACTCAGGTGCTCTGCCTGTCTCCTGTGTCATATAGGAAATAAGTGGGTCTCTTAACTACCTAAAACAGAAAAGAATAAAACTAATAAATAAGTAAATCCAGAAACCTTCATGTTTCGTTAACGATATATTGTTTCATGGTTGGACGCTGCAGTGTTGCCCGAAGGAGGGTTCCTCAGCGGACACACACACCTATATCTTTGTTATGTGTTTGAGTGTATCGTAAGGGCGTGAGCGCGCGTGCTGCCGGGCCTGAGCGAGGCTGACTGTCCCGTTATCAGTGGAGCGAAGGTCGCCGATAAGAGGGGGCAGCGTTCGGCGCGGCCACAGCGAGCTCAGTTGCAACCAGCAGCGCCAACTGCCGCAAGGACACCGCCAACGCTCCAACAACAACCGCAACCTATGCCCCAACCGGCACGATGCCCACCTCGGACCGCAACGCCCGCCTCGTAAGTAGCCCTTGGCGTAGCTTCGGGGCGCGCCGAAGACTCGGCTCAGTTTCTGTGGATTCTGAGGGAGGCGGGGGAGGGGGAGGAAGGGGGAGAGGGGCACAACGAATGGAAAAGACACAAAATAATCACACATCGTGACTATAATCAGGATCATAACGATCGTTCAGGATTACATCTGTTCATCGCGGTTGAACAGTGATGTGTGGCAGGAATTTTTGCGATGTCATGTTGCCCAGCAGAACTACAGTATATTTGGACTTTGTAAAGGGTTGCCTGTCTATTCAAGGTGGCCGGGCTGTGCAGGCGTTAGCTCGCTCGGGAGGTTTGGCCAGTGTCGGCGACGTGGAACTTTTTCTTTGTCATTTTGGCATGGAGTATGTTGTCTTTCGATTTTCCCTTTTGGTTACCGATGGGTTCTTTTAATTGGTATGTTTAATAGCCAGGTTTCGATTTATTCATCAATTTCTTACTACTTGCTTATTCCATGCTGATTTCACTCTCCCTCACTTTTCTCACTCTCATTCTTTCTTTTGTTATCTTTTTCTCCCTCTTATATCCTCTCCCTCTCATTCTCTCATATTGTCTATCTCTCTCTGTTATAATTCTTTCCCTACCTCTTATATTCTCTCTTTTTCTTTTATTCTCTCATTTTCTCTTATATTCCCTACCTCCCTTTTATTCTCTGTCGGATGTCACTGAAGTTGACATTCCATGACAAGGGTCCAAGGACACTTCCGTGAGGTCCGCTGCCTCTCGCCGGACGTTCCCTGGAGGACTGGCCTTCAAGGCCGACTTGGAGAGTCCTTCCGAGGAGGCAGCCCTCTATTCGTCCTAGTTACTGGCGGAAACACTTGCGAAATCTGCCTTTGATTCGGGAAGCGCTTAAAGAACAGACACGCAGCGTAAGGGGATAACAATGATAAGATAAGGAGACACTCAGGTGCTCTGCCTGTCTCCTGTGTCATATAGGAAATAAGTGGGTCTCTTAACTACCTAAAACAGAAAAGAATAAAACTAATAAATAAGTAAATCCAGAAACCTTCATGTTTCGTTAACGATATATTGTTTCATGGTTGGACGCTGCAGTGTTGCCCGAAGGAGGGTTCCTCAGCGGACACACACACCTATATCTTTGTTATGTGTTTGAGTGTATCGTAAGGGCGTGAGCGCGCGTGCTGCCGGGCCTGAGCGAGGCTGACTGTCCCGTTATCAGTGGAGCGAAGGTCGCCGATAAGAGGGGGCAGCGTTCGGCGCGGCCACAGCGAGCTCAGTTGCAACCAGCAGCGCCAACTGCCGCAAGGACACCGCCAACGCTCCAACAACAACCGCAACCTATGCCCCAACCGGCACGATGCCCACCTCGGACCGCAACGCCCGCCTCGTAAGTAGCCCTTGGCGTAGCTTCGGGGCGCGCCGAAGACTCGGCTCAGTTTCTGTGGATTCTGAGGGAGGCGGGGGAGGGGGAGGAAGGGGGAGAGGGGCACAACGAATGGAAAAGACACAAAATAATCACACATCGTGACTATAATCAGGATCATAACGATCGTTCAGGATTACATCTGTTCATCGCGGTTGAACAGTGATGTGTGGCAGGAATTTTTGCGATGTCATGTTGCCCAGCAGAACTACAGTATATTTGGACTTTGTAAAGGGTTGCCTGTCTATTCAAGGTGGCCGGGCTGTGCAGGCGTTAGCTCGCTCGGGAGGTTTGGCCAGTGTCGGCGACGTGGAACTTTTTCTTTGTCATTTTGGCATGGAGTATGTTGTCTTTCGATTTTCCCTTTTGGTTACCGATGGGTTCTTTTAATTGGTATGTTTAATAGCCAGGTTTCGATTTATTCATCAATTTCTTACTACTTGCTTATTCCATGCTGATTTCACTCTCCCTCACTTTTCTCACTCTCATTCTTTCTTTTGTTATCTTTTTCTCCCTCTTATATCCTCTCCCTCTCATTCTCTCATATTGTCTATCTCTCTCTGTTATAATTCTTTCCCTACCTCTTATATTCTCTCTTTTTCTTTTATTCTCTCATTTTCTCTTATATTCCCTACCTCCCTTTTATTCTCTGTCGGATGTCACTGAAGTTGACATTCCATGACAAGGGTCCAAGGACACTTCCGTGAGGTCCGCTGCCTCTCGCCGGACGTTCCCTGGAGGACTGGCCTTCAAGGCCGACTTGGAGAGTCCTTCCGAGGAGGCAGCCCTCTATTCGTCCTAGTTACTGGCGGAAACACTTGCGAAATCTGCCTTTGATTCGGGAAGCGCTTAAAGAACAGACACGCAGCGTAAGGGGATAACAATGATAAGAATGAGCAGCCGACTACTTATCTTCCCAGTTACGTCAATTTAACGGGGTAAATGAGAGAGACAAAGGTTAATCAATAACATGAGAGAGAAATTGAGTTAAGGAGGGAAAGGAGTAATTGAGAAAGGGGAGAGAGAGTAAGTGAGTAGTTGAGTGAGTGAGGGAGACAGAATGAGTGATTGAGGAAATGAATAAAAGAGGGATAAACTGGGTAAGGGAGAAAGAGAGGAAGAGAGTAAGCCAGTGAAATACAAAGAGAGTAATTGAGTGATAGAGAAAAAATGAATAAATGAGTGAGAGTGAATGAGAAAGAGAGGGAGATAAATGAATTAGGAAGAGAAAAGGTGGAGAGAAAGAGATCGTCATAACAATCAGATTAGAAATTAAATCAACAGTCATATAGATTACTATCATCATAATAGCTATAGATTTTAGGTGTAAATAACAAATCACTAAGCACCAATAAATGTATATTTCTTTTAGTAATAAGGAAAAAGTCTACATCTTTTGGCAAAGTCATTAATGGAATTTTTTTGTGTAAGAGTGATATGACCTCTCGAGTCTAAAGCTCAAAAAATCAACAAGGAATGCATTTAGGGGGAAAGCATGAAAGGCATGAAAAGACGCCCTTTGACGATTTCACTTCATAGGCCTAGAGATCGGCTCGTGTGCTTCATTTGGCTTCTCTTCTGCGAATCACTGGCGACGAAATAAGAGGGATAATAGGGATAGCGAGAGAGGGGGGAAGGGAGAGAGGGGGGAGCGGAATCTCTTTATCGAGTTGCCAACAGGTACACATTACACACACACAGACACACTATACAAATCATGAGATATGCACACATACAGACGTGTACAAACTTACCCATAACAAATAAAGACAAACTCAGTCACAGAAACACGCGCAGATAAACACACATAGTGTGTATTCCGCCTAAACGAAGTGAAGTCCGTCTATGTGTAGTGAATTGTAAATTCCATATCTCTGAAGTGAATTCCGTCTGTGTGAAGTGAAGTGAAGTGTGAATTCCGTCCCTCTGATGTAAATTCGGTCTTAGTGAAGTGAGGTATGAATTCCGTCTAGGTGAAGTGAATTCCGTCTGTGTGAAGTGAGGTGTGAATCCTGTCTCTCTGAAGTGAATTCAATCTCTCTGAAGTGAATTCCGTCTATGTGAAGTGAATTCCGTCTCTCTGAAGTGAATTCCATCTCTCTGAAGTGAATACCGTCTATGTGAAGTGAATTCCGTCTATGTGAAGTGAATTCCGTCTGTGTGAAGTGAGGTGTGAATCCCGTCTCCCTGAAGTGAATTCCGTCTCTCTGAAATGAATTCCGTCTATGTGAAGTCAATTCCGTCTCTCTGAAGTGAATTCCGTCTATGTGAAGTCAATTCCGTCTATGTGAAGTGAATTCCGTCTCTCTGAAGTGAATTCCATCTCTCTGAAGTGAATACCGTCTATGTGAAGTGAATTCCGTCTGTGTGAAGTGAGGTGTGAATCCCGTCTCCCTGAAGTGAATTCCGTCTCTCTGAAATGAATTCCGTCTATGTGAAGTCAATTCCGTCTCTCTGAAGTGAATTCCGCCTATGTGAAGTCAATTCCGTCTATGTGAAGTGAATTCCGTCTATGTGAAGTGAATTCCGTCTCTCTGAAGTGAATTCCGCCTATGTGAAGTCAATTCCGTCTATGTGAAGTGAATTCCCTCTCTCTGAAGTGAATACCGTCTATGTGAAGTGAATTCCGTCTGTGTGAAGTGAGGTGTGTATCCCGTCTCTCTGAAGTGAATTCCGTCTCTCTGAAGTGAATTCCGTCTATGTGAAGTGAATTCCGTCTCTCTGAAGTGAATTTCGTCTATGTGAAGTGAGTTCCGTCTCTCTGAAGTGAATTCTGTTTCTCTGAAGTGAATTTCGTCTATATGAGGTGAGTTCCGTCTCTCTGAAGTGAGTTCTGTCTCTTTGAAGTGAATTCCGTCTCTGTGAAGTGAAGTGTGAAGTCCGTCTAAGTGAAGTGAGGTGTGAATTCCGTTTCTCTGAAGTGAATTCCGTCTAAGTGAGGTGTGAGTTCTGTCCCTCTGAAGTGAATTCCGTCTAAGTGAGGTGTGAGTTCTGTCCCTTTGAAGTGAATTCCGTCTAAGTGAGGTGTGAGTTCTGTCCCTCTGAAGTGAATTCCGCCTAAGTGAAGTGAGGCGTGAATTCCGTCTCTCTGAAGTGAATTCCGTCTCTCTGAAGTGAATTCCGTCTGTGTGAAGTGAGGTGTGCATTCCGATTGATGTCAGACCTCTTCTGGGCTTCTGAATGATGCATTCGAAGGGCGAACACAACAGCACACGTAAGCAGGATGACAAGACGTTTTCATAAGTATCTGTAGCGCTGCCTTATCTCGGCTGACCTCAAGGGTGGGAGTGCGGAGGGACGCCGCCCTGGTAAACAACACGTACATCTAAATTATACCCACACACATATACCCATGCAAACACACTCAAGGAAACATACATATATAGACAAGTACATGCAAACACACACAAACGCGTGCAGCCAGGCATATAAGCAGGATGAGGCTTCTCCATAGGTATCTATTGCACTGTCTTATCTCGGCTGACCCCAAGGGAGGCGTACGGAGGGATACAAAGACCGAGGGAGGGAGGGAGAGAGGAAGGGAACGTGAGGAATGGGGAGGGGAAGGGGGGAGGAATTTTTTTTTTACTAAATGTTTGTTGAAACAAAAGTTTACATTATAAAGCATGAGGTAACTCATCTTAATATCTGGGTGAGGTCATATTTTACACACAAACCTTAGGCATGTTAAATTATAAGAATATGTGCAGTACTTAAAAGACATAGAGTGAAATGTTTGGTCTCAGAAGAATGATCAAAATATCTAAGAGAAAATCTGCACAAGCCATTATAGTGTCAGTAAGAGTAACAGCCTAGTACCTGTGTATATCCATCAGGTACAATTAAACTAATGGTACCAACCCAAGATATCGACGCTTATCTGACGCTTCGGTGTTGCCGTAAACAGTAGCGTCCTTTGGGTGGTCCTTTCCTCCGTCTGATGTCTGTGCGTCAGCGTTGTCCTGAGCAACTCGGCCGCACGTCCGACCCGCGCCGCAGCTCCCCACACTGGCACGACTCCGTGTGCTAATGTAAACAAAGCCGCCACGTGGCTGCTGAAGGAGAGCTAGGCCAGTGACGGTCGGCGCTTGAGGCGAGACGCGCTCAGGAGTGGGGGTGGGGAGTCGGGGGAGGAGAGTGATGGATGGTAGAGCGAGGGAGGGAAAGAGGGAGAGAGGGAGAGAGACGAAGAGAGAACCAGGGAAATGGAGGGAAGGTGAGGTAGGGAAGGGAGGGCGAGAAACGATGAGAGAATCAGTTTCGGTGAAAAGGAAAAATATTTAAGGAAAGAGTCGGTGTCAGGGATAAAGATTCAAGAGGAGGGTTAGAGAGATAGGTGGGAAAATGGTACTGGGAGAGGAAGATGAAACAAACAAAACAAAAAGTCAGAAAGAAAAAGATAGAGTTTTGCGAGGAAAAAAAGAGAAAGCAAGACAGGGAGAGAAATAGAGCTAGAGAGAGAGAAAAAAAAATCTCAGCTCTGTCAGTACACTTAACACAAAACCAGGGATATCAAACATCACCAAAACGATTTCGTTCCTGGGCTTATGAATGATGCGTTTGAAGGGCGAACAACAGCACACGTAAGCAGGATGAGAAGTAGGTTTTCATAAGTATCTGTAGCGTTGCCTTATCTCGCCTGACCCCAAGGGAGAGGGTGTGGAGGGGTGCAAAGGCAGAGGGAGGGAGTGAAGGAGAGAGAGAAGGATTAGAGGGAAAGCGACAGAGAGAAGAGCGAGGCAGAGAAAAAGAGAGAGAAAGGGGGGGGGGGCGAGAGAGAAGAAAGAGGAAGGGGAAATATGGAGAAAGAGAGGGGGGGGGAGGAGGAGAGAGAT